GGGGATCACTGGGAGTCATTGGGGAGTTACTGGGGTCAATGGGGGTCACTGGGGAGTTACTGGGGTCAATGGGATCACTGGGAGTCACTGGGGAGTTACTGGGGTCACTGGGGGTCACTGGGATCACTGTGAGTCACTGGGAGTGACTTGGAATCACTGGGGGTCACTGGGAGATACTGGGGTCACTGGGAGTCATTTGATGTCACTGGGGTCAGTGGGAGTCACTGAGGATCACTGGGAGTCACTGGGAGTCACTGGGGGTCACTGGGGGTCACTGGGAGTCACTGGAATCAATGGGAGTCACTGGGATCAATGGGAGTCACTGGGATTACTGGGAATCACTGGGATCAATGGGAGTCACTGGGAGTCACTGGGATCACTGGGAGTCACTGGGAGTCACTGGGATCACGGGGGGTTACTGGGGGTCCCTGGTGTTTCCCGTGGAAAGGAGGCATTTCCCAGGAAAAAAGGAATCCTTTCCCAGGAAAAAAGGAATCCTTTCCCAGTGGAAGGAATCATTTCCCAGTGAAAGGGATCATTTCCCAGTGGAAGGGATCCTTTCCCAGGAAAAAAGGGATCCTTTCCCAGGACAAAAGGAATCCTTTCCCAGTGAAAGGAGTCCTTTCCCAGGACAAAAGGGATCCTTTCCCAGGACAAAAGGAATCCTTCCCCAGCGGAAGGGATCCCTCCCCATGGCGAGGGGGGTTCCCACCCACCTGCAGGCCGCGCAGGTTCTGTGTCTCCACGCCCTGCGCTCCGGGCCGGGCGGGGATCTTGGCCAGGCCCTGCTGCCCCCCGTGCGCCGGCGCCGGCTGCACGATGGCCGCGGCGTTCTGCACCACCGGCGTCTGGGACGGGGAAAAACCGGGATCAGAGCCTCTGGAGAGCCGGGATTGCCATCCATCCCCCCTCCCCAGCTCCCCCAGGGCCCACCTTCTGCACCACGTTCTCCTTCTGCAGTTGGCTCTGCCGCAGCTTCTTGAGCAGCACCAGCCGCGCCTCCTCCAGGCGCAGCTCGTCCCGCAGCTGCTTGATCAGCTGCTGCCGCTCCTCCAGGCTCTTCCCCTGGGAAAATATGGGAATGGGGGGGAAACAGGAGGAAAAGAACATGAGAAGATCAGTTTGAGTGGGATTTGGTTGCTCCTCCAGGCTCTTCCCCTGGGAAAATGTGGGAATGGGAGGGAAAACGGGAGGGGAAGAGCATGAGAAGATCAATTTGAGTGGGATTGGGTTGCTCTTCCATGCTCTTCCCCTGGGAAATAAACGGGAATGGGGGGGAAACAGGAGGAAAAGAACATGAGAAGATCAGTTTGAGTGGGATTTGGTTGCTCCTCCAGGCTCTTCCCTTGGAAAAACCCGGAAAAAATGTGAGGGAAAGACCATGAGGAAGCTCAATCCGAGGGGGAATTCGGTTGCTCCTTTAGGCTCTTCCCCTGGGAAAATAACAGGAATGGGGGGAAAACGGGAGTGGAAGAGCATGAGGAAACTCAATTTAGTGGGATTTGGTTGCTCCTCCAGGCTCTTCCCCTGGAAAAATAAATGGGAATGCTGGGAAAATGGGAGGGAAAGACCCTGAGGAAGATCAATCCCAGCTCAAACCCAGGAATGGTGGGAAAATGGGAGGGGAAGAGCACGAGGAAGATCAATTTGAGTGGGAATTTGGCTGCTCCTCCAGGCTCTTCCCTTGGAAAAACCTGGAAAAAATATGAGGCCAAGACCAAGAACCTCAATTTGAGGGGGAATTCAGTTGCTCCTCCAGGCTCTTCCCTTGGAAAGAAGTCAGAATGGTGGGAAAATGTGAGGGAAAAGACCAAGAGGAAGCTCAACCCGAGCGGGAATTGGGTCGCTCCTCCAGGCTTTCCTTGGAAAAACCCGGAATGCCACAAAAAATATGAGGCCAAGACCAAGAGGAAGCTCAATCCCAGTGGGAATTCTGCCCCTTCTCCAGGCTCTTCCCTCGGAAAAAAACCTTGGAATGGCGGGAAAACAGCGAGGGAAAGACCCCGAGGGCGCCCAACCCCACAGGGAGCTCAGTCGGGTCAGGGAGGACATGGGGAACGCTGCCAGGAATGCTCTGGGAATGCTCTGGGAATGCTCTGGGAATGCTGGGAAGGGCCTCACCTTGAACATGTCGAGGTTGGCCGCCTTGAGCCGCTCGTCCCCGCGGGAGCCGCCGCGCGGGCTCGAGGCCTCGTTGTCCGACAGCACGATGATGTCCGGGGACGGCGTCAGGCGGCCCCGCTCCGGGTCACTGCGGGAACAGAGCGGGGTCAACCCCAATCCTGCACCAATCCTGCACCAATCCCACCCCTCCAGCATCTCATGGAGTCCAATCCTTCCCAAAAACCCCCTGGGTTTGATCCAGGTCCCCGCTCCGAGTCACTGCGGGAACGGAGCGGGGTCAGACCCCAAATCCAGCACCAATCCCACCCCAATCCAGCATCCCACACAGTCCAATCCTTCCCACACACCCCCTGGGTTTGATCCAGGTCCCCGCTCCGAGTCACTGCGGGAACGGAGCGAGGTCAGACCCCAAATCCAACACCAATCCCACCCCAATCCTGCACTGATCCCACCCCAATCCAGCATCCCACACAGTCCAATCCCTCCCACACACCCCCTGGGTTTGATCCAGGTCCCTGCTCCGAGTCACTGCGGGAACAGAGCGGGATCAGCCCCAATCCTGCACCAATCCCACCCCAATCCTGCACCAATCCCACCCCAATCCTGCACCAATCCCACCCCAATCCTGCACCAATCCCACCCCAATCCTGCACCAATCCCACCCCAATCCTGCACCAATCCCACCCCAATCCTGCACCCATCCCACCCCAATCCTGCACTGATCCCACTCCTCCAGCATCCCACACTGTCCAATCCTTCCCAGACACCCCCTGGGTTTGATCCAGGTAGATAAATCCCAGTTGGAATGGAGGGATGACTCCAATCCAACACTGATCCCACCCCTCCATCATCCCACGGAGTCCAACCCTTCCCACACACCCCCTGGGTTTGATCCAGGTGGGTAAATCCCAGCTGGGAATGGGGGGATAGGGCAGAGTCTGATGCGGATTCCGGGATGTTCCGGCCTGGAATGGTTCTCCAAGCCCTCCCCCACGAATTCCAAGCGCTATCCCGGCCCAAATGGCTCGGAAAAGCGCGTTCCCTGAGGGAGAATCCGAGTAGATATCCGATGGGTCCAGGAGGGGATCGGGAAACAAAAGGAGTGGTTGGGAAGAGGAAAGGTTGGGATTCCAGAGTTGGGATCCAGGGATCATCCCCAGGGATCATCCCCAGGGGGGGGAGGAGACGCCTTTGCCATCCCAGAGTTCCCATCTTGGAGCTGGAGAGTCTTGGAAAACCGCGGGATAATCCGGGAGCAGCCGGGAACGTTGTGGAAGGTCCTTGGAGCGAGGACACCGTGGAATGTCAGATCCCAAAAACTGTCACATCCCAAAAACTGTCACATCCCAAAGGGTCAGATCCCAAAGGGTCACATCCCAAAAACTGTCACATCCCAAAATCTGTCACGCCCCAATCCCAGATCTGGCTGCTCCGAGGACGCTCCGAGTTCATCTCCCAGCCGTTCCTGCGGATATTCCAAAGGGCTGGAGCCGCCCCTTTCCCAGCAGAGCATCCCAAGGAAGGTGGATCCAGCTGGAGCTCCCCGCTCCAGGCAATCCCAGCTGCATCCCAGGAATTGCAATCCGGAGGGATCCCGCTCCAGGGGTGGGTTTTGCGGGATCAATCCGGGCTGGATCATCCACATTCCACGGAGAGGGAACAACACGAAGCCAAAGCCCAAATCCAAGGGGGAAAATCCAGGAGGAATCAACAGATTTTCTTCGTCCAGGGAAGAGCGGAATTCCGAGGGATCCACCGGAACGGGAGCAACATTCCCGAGGGAAATCCAGGGCAATGGTTTCCAAGCTTGGAGCGGGACATTCCCACCTCCTTCCACGGCTCATCCCCCATCCCAGTGTCCGGTGCTGGTGCCCAACCGGGCACAATATCCATGGAATTCCAGGGATGAGGAACCCCCCAATCCCTCGGATAAACCTGGACCACCCCCCTTTGGCAAGAAAACATTCCCAACTCCCCTAATCCCGCTGCTTCCCGTTCCCTGTTATCCCACCATTCCCACAGCCCCTCCCTGACTCCTGGGAACGCCTTTTATCCCACTGGGAGCAAACCAAATTCCTGGGAATGCCTTTTATCCCACTGGGATCAAACCAAATTCCTGGGAGTGCCTTTTCCCTGCTGGAATCCAACCCAACTCCTGGGAACACCTTTTCCCACTGGGATCAAATCCAAACTCCTGGAAATCCACTGGGATCAAACCCAACCCCTGGGAACACCTTTTCCCTGCTGGAATGAAACCCAAACTCCTGGAAGTGTCTTTTCCCACTGGGATCAAACCAAATTCCTGGGAACACCTTTTATCCACTGGAATCAAATCCAAATTCCTGGGAACACCTTTTCCTGCTGGAATGAAACCCAAACTCCTGGGAGTGCCTTTTCCCTGCTGGAATGAAATCCAACTCCTGGGAGTGCCTTTTCCCACTGGGATCAAACCAAACTCCTGGGAACACCTTTTATCCCACTGGAATCAAACCCAAACTCCTGGAAGTGTCTTTTCCCTGTTGGAATCAAATCCAAACTCCTGGGAGTGCCTTTTCCCACTGGGATCAACCCAAACTCCTGGAAGTGCCTTTTCCCCTCTGGAATCAAACCAAATTCCTGGAAACACCTTTTCCCACTGGAATCAAACCCAAAATCCTGGGAGTGTCTTTTCCCTGCTGGAATGAAACCCAAACTCCTGGGAGTGCCTTTTCCCACTGGGATCAAACCCAAACTCCTGGAAGTGCCTTTTCCCACTGGGATCAAACCCAAACTCCTGGAAGTGCCTTTTCCCACTGGGATCAAACCCAAACTCCTGGGAACACCTTTTATCCACTGGAATCAAATCCAAAGTCCTGGGAACACCTTTTCCTTGCTGGAATCAAACCCAAACTCCTGGGAGTGCCTTTTCCCACTGGGATCAAACCAAACTCCTGGGAACACCTTTTCCCACTGGAATCCAACCCAATTCCTGGAAGTGCCTTTTCCCTGCTGGGATCAAACCAAACTCCTGGGAACACCTTTTCCCACTGGAATCAAACCCAAACTCCTGGAAGTGCCTTTTATCCCACTGGGATCAACCCAAACCCCCTAAAATCCTGCTGAACCCCCGACCGGACTCCTCCCTCCTCCCACTCCCAGCGTCGTTCCCGGTGTCATTCCTGGCATTCCCGGCGTCATTCCCGGTGTCATTCCCGGCGTCATTCCCTGTGTTCCCCCCTCACCCACCTCCTCCTGGCGCTCATGTCGACGGGCTCGTCGCTGATGTTCTCCTTGCCGGGCCGTGCCCGGAGGCTCCCGTTGAGCTTCTCCTCGAAGGCCTTGAGGCCGTCGGGCTTGGGGGGCTCGAGCGGCGCCTCCAGCCCCGCCAGGTCCTTCCTCTTGAGCAGGGCCAGCATCTTGAGGCGCTC